TTCTGTTGATTTTTTGCTACAAACAGGACCTGGTGGACTCTGTAGGCGGAGTTTTCCTGTCCTGCGGTAGTTCTCAAATAAACCCACTGGGGCTTATATTAATTACAAATTCTCAGCCAATAGTTCAGGCTTGTTACTAACTAGCTCTTACAACTTAACACATTTCTATTCATCTGTATGCAATCCTGAGGCTTGAGGATTTTACCTCTCTATCCTGCCTTGTTTATCCAATTCCTTCTGGCTGGCTGATGACTCCTGACTCTGCCCTTCTCCTTCCCAACATTCTCACTTTTACTTTCCCACCTAACCTTATTCTGTTCCACTATTGGCCAGTCAGCTTGTTTATTAAACCAATCACAGCGACACATCTTCACAGTGTACAAAAGGATTATTCCACGGCAGATTTCCTCATTTTTTAGTGCCATCTTGCTTATTAACTCCAAGAATCTCTGAACTTGGGGGTTATCTAATAGCCTTATTTTATTATCTTAAATGAAATAATTTGAAGTTGAATAGCTTGGCCCTTACCTACTTTCTTAAGTGTGTCTTTTCTTCTCTTAACCCTAGTGTTTGAAATCTGTACCAAAGAAATACTAGCTCTTCTTCCCAAAGCATTCAGTGTCTTTAGTCACATTGTACAAATGTGAAGGCAAAGAGAAAAGTTTTATCGTCTTGTTTTCTCATGTAAGCATGATAGAAGAAAATCAGATTTTCCATTATGGCTTGCTTTTTTTTTAAGTAAATCCAGAAACTTTTGTACAATCTGACCCACTTATGTGATAACAGTAGTTCTAAAAAGTAGGATGGCTGTTTATCCCTTATTTTTAGATAGTATGATTTAAATTACTTGACCAGACCCGTTTTGAATGTTGTCAGCTGTTTGTTACCAATGTTTGGTGAGAATCTTTTTTTATGAAAAACACAGCCCTGTCTTATGTGTGAAAGCACTAATGTGGATGCATTACATATGGTGAACACAGCTGGACTCAAAGCTGTGTCCTTAGTCCTGGAACCTGTGTGGGGTGTTCTCAGCTGCAGAATTGATAGATTAAACAGAGAGGGGATGAATTGATGAAGTTCTGGGCGTTTTTCACATCTAACCTTGCAAATATGCCCAAGAGCTTAGTTATGAAAGTAGATATTTTAGTTGCTTTTGTTCTGTCTTTAACATCCAGTTTGATTTGACATTTCATAGCCCCCCAAATTCAGATGGCTGCATGCCCAGTGCTTCATAGCATTTACCATCCCAGACAGTGGGGTTCACTCTGGGGTAACTGCCGCTGTAGGAGTGTGGAGGAAAGGAAGTTCCTAAGAAACAAGCGGGAACCGTTCTAGACACATTCTGTGTTCTTGAAGTCTGCACTCCTCACTGTGTTAGCGCCCGGATGCTTGGCTTCGTGTGACGTTGCTCTGTAGGCTGCACACTCTTCCGTTTCTAACCTTTCTCATCTCCGACAGCTCCATCTTGATTTCCACCCTCCCTCATAGTCCGTCTCTTAGCACATTCTGCCTGTCTGTCTTCGTGGTTCTTCTCAGGGCCACCTGTTATCACTGGGATCCCAGCCACTGTCATCCTCTGTGCTGCCTGTTACAGCAGCAAATCGTCTCTGAGATCCACTAGGGAAGTTCTTATAGCGCTGAAGGCTTCTGAAAAAATGTGTGAGGGATTTGAAGTTATGGACTTGAGTATTTTAGTGAAGCAGAGCAGTGGTTGTTGATGAGTGTCGGCAGCCATGGTAAAGGTTAATATGGAACTAACCATAACAATGGATGGGTTAGGATCTTGGGTGATTGACCAAAGGCTCACCCTTCACTCTGGAACAGAGCTGTGAGGTAAAAAATAAGTCAAGGTAGCTTTTTGTATTCCAAATTTATTAGACCTAGAAGTCCATAGTCTGGAAGACTTGAGTCCTGGGTCCTTCATGCTTTTGATGGAGTGCCCACTGAAGGGCACTGCGTTGAACTGGCACTACCTATGCACTAAGGAGACATCGTTGAAATGGTCTTTCTAGCCATGTTCAAAATAGCTGTCATATAGAAAACATGGAAAAATTTAAGAATGGCTGCAGCTTTTACCTGTCTCCGAGTTGACCAGATATCACTGATCAGATTTAATACGTGCATGTCTGTAGATGGTCTGTACAGGGGCCAGCGATGTTTAAATAAATAAAGACATCCATAATTCATTTTAAAATGTTTATAATCTGATATCCACTTGTTTTTAGAAAACCCCCACAGTAAAGCTTCTCTTAAAAAGAACAAAAACGGTACCCGAGTTTGCCAAATTGTGTATTTACTTTAACCAATCAATCTGCTCTTATTAGTGTAGGAGTCAGTATATGTAATTTGTGAATAAGGTTTCAGTCTTAATTTTTTCAGAAAGTGAAGCCGTACAGATCGCAGGAGGATATTATCTGTGTTTTTTTGTTTTTAGAGAACTCTTGAGCCAATCCAGTGTCTAGAGGTATATAGTTTGGGCAGTTGGTCAGGCAAGATATGCTTGTCGCTGTCACCAGCTGTGGATGGAGAGGCCGCGGACACCTTGACTTTTCCTAACGTCGTGGTAGTCGTGTAGCCAGCTGTAACTGTCGTTCAGCGGTTACTCCCCTGCTTTCGACTGTTGTGCTTGGCTTTGGGGTGGACTATACCATGCTAGTATTGCTGAACTTTTCCCATTTTTCACTTATACCACTCGGCAACCCTAAACAGGTATAGTTTAGCCAGACAGCTTGTTCAGGCAATCAGGTAATGGTTATAGGCAGAGACAGTTGAGCCCCAGAAGCAGGAATCCTACTGCCAGAACACAGTGCTTCTGGAATATTCAGCTCATTTCTGGATTTGCTTGAAAAATTGAAGAGTGAGTGGTCAGAGACTAGAAGGCCTGTGTTTATGCTTGCATGTTCCGTGTCTCTTTAAAGACAGGACAGAATCCTACACCATTGCCAGTAGCCTGAGAGGAGGGAAGACACAAACAGCTGTATTATATTGGTATTGGTTGTTTGAAGAAAATAACCAGCATCCGTAGATTAAAGCAGAAGAAAGGTGGACGTTGGCCCACAGTTCCAAAGGAGAAGCGTGTGCATTTCACATCATGGCGGCCAGGTTCTGCTGTTCTTCTTTCTTTGTGAATCTCTCCAGGATCCTGGTCCCTGTGACAGTTTCTTAATTGTCATGGGAGAGAGTCCCAGGAATTGTCTAGGTCAGGGTGGTTTGCTGGTGAGTTTGTTGAGAGGGAAAGACCCACCCTGAGTGTGGGCAGCAGCATCACAAGGCTGGGCCCTGGGCAGGAGGAGGAGAAAGCACGTGCCTGCCTTCGGGAACCCATTACTCTCTGCCTTGACCAGATGTGACGTGACCAGCTGTGTCACACTCCCGTCTCCTGGACTCCTTCACAGTGACGGACTGGCCCTGGACTGTGAACCAGATAGACCCTTTCTCCTTGAGGTTGTTCGGGATGTTTTGTCACAGCAACCGGAAATGGAACAGCGTTTCCCCTTCAGTTCATCCTTTAGGGAAATGCTGTCACACAGATCCCAGAGGCTTCTAAAGACAGCGGCTAACATTGAAGATCAACTTAAAAATGTTCTCACAGGAGAAAATAGCAGCTGTAATTTCTTTGCTGTGTTTTTCTTTATTTGCAATAGTATGTCATTTTGTCACTAACCTGCCAGCCCCCTCCGTGCTTACGTACACGTACAAAGCGTCAGGCCTGACCTGACCAGCGATCTCATCGTGCCAACAGTTCTTTTCTGTCCAGCAAACCTGACAGACCAGGAACTGTACGAGTGACTCTGGCTCCCACGCAGGGCTTCACTTTATTCATTCTGGTAACTGTGGCGGGAACTGCGTGTGAGCAGAAGTCCCAGACTTGCCTGGCACTTGAATTGACTGAGTCTGAGGTGGGCTTGTATTGCAGCAGAGCACAGCTGTATTGCTGGGACAGCGTGGTAAAGGTGGTACTTACTTAACTACCTCTCAGTTTCGACGAGAGAAGCAGAAATTAATAACCAGAGTAGGAGGAAAGATTTGTGCCCCCCAGGAAAAGTGATGCACTGACATATTTAAATGTAGCTTGACGTACTTGCGAGTTCTGTTTCTTGTTTCATTTGTGAAGGCATAAGAAAAGAACAAAAGCTTTCTGTGAATATATGACTATTATCTAGAAGGCTCTCTTTGTCTTGTTTTGTCTTAAGACCAAGACCTGGCTATGTAGCCTGAGCTGGATTCAGACTCACAGCAACTCTCCTGTCTCAGCCTTTTAAGCAATGGGATTGCAGGCAGGAGCGCCCCCAGCTGTAGATCATCACTCTGCTTCACACGTTGCCAGAGATTATCCTTCCAGAGCTGTGATATTTGCTTATCTAAAATATAAAGGGCGTACTCATTGTATATTATTTAGTGTGATCCTTTGTGTATTTTTAAAGGACTTTTTCTAGTTTTTGACATATTAACTATACATAATGAAATATTCATAAATAATATGTCAACGCATAATGACATGACAGACACATAATGTGATTTCGTTATATTCACCTCTATTTTTAACAAGATATTTTACTTGATAACAGTAAAATAAAATAAATTTTAAATGTCATTGTATTCTGTACTATGTGATAATTGTATAAATTAGTACAGTCTTAATATGCATTAGTGCCAATAAAAAGATTGGTTAACTAAATTTAAACATCCAAACATCTGGTGTGAATGCCTTTAATTCCAGTAGTCGGGAGGCAGAGACAGGCCAATCCCAGTGAGTTCGAGGCCAGCCTGGTCTACAACGTGAGTTTCAGGACAAGCAGGGCTGTTATACAGAGAAACCCTGTCTCAAAAAACCAAAAGAAAAAAAAAAAAAACCCTGAACTATATAATCTCGGATAAATTTTGGTTTTTAGAAATACAAGGTGTTCTATATTTCTTGTTGTTTGCTTTATGAATACTTTATGCCATAATATTAAATCTATTTTAAGAGTTCATTGTGATTTTTATGTTTTTCTTCCCAGATCAAAGTACTTTAGAACATGCCCAAGAGGAGAGCATTTGACCATAGAGGTGAGGCCTTGAACATTTACTGGAATCCAAAAATGTCCACAATTGTTCTTCTCCTCCTCCTCCTCCTTTTCCTCTTCCTCCTCCTCCTCCTCCTCCTCCTCCTCCTCCTCGTTTTATGTGTATAAGATTTTTCCTGCACGTGAGGGCACCATATGTGTGCAGTGCTGACAGAGACCAGAAGAGGGCAGCAGATTCCTAGTGAGTTACAGACTCTTTGAAACAAGGCTTTACTAGTAGCTCTGGCTGTCCTTGAACTCCTTTTGTAGACCAGGCTGGCCTTGAAGTCACTGAGATCCATCTGACTCTGCCTCCCAAGTGCTGAAATTAAAGGCAAGTTAACCGACTTTTGTGAGCCACCAGGTAGGTGCTGAGAACAAAACCTGGGTCTTTAAGATAAGGGAAATGAGGGCTGGAGACATGGCTCAGTGGTTATGAGCACTAACTACCCTTCCAGAGGACCTGGGTTCAACTCCCAGCACCCACATGGCAGTGCACAACTGTCTATGACTCCAGTTCCAGGGAATCTGGCACCTTCATACCAAATGAACATAAAATAAAGTTAAATAAATACTTAAAAAAAAAAAAGATGGGGAATGGTTCAGAACCACACCTAGTATGGACTATAAAATATATATTATATGTGTCAGTGTTTATTTCAATATTGTCACTTGTTTAGGAGGCAGGTCTCAGGAGTACTTGGCTAGCATTCTGAGCCACATCCGCATCCCTCTTAGTTCACTTTTTATTGTGAGATGGGGGTCTCACTGACTCTCACAGACTTGCCTTAAACCCAACCGCCACCAAGGCTGGCCTGGAGCATTGCCTCCTCCCGCCTCTGCCTTGAGAGTAACTGAGATTACACCAGGCCTGGCTCAGTATTGTGGATTCTGATGCACAGAAAAAGAATTATATGCTTGCTTGCGTTGGCCATTTTGTGAACTAGAGTATACCAAATATGCTGATTATAAAAGATACTCATATAAAGATGAGTACCTTGTAAAGATGTGTTATTTTGAAGATTAAGAGACGTGTCAGTTTCTTGTGAGATGTGTATGCTCGACAAACATCCCTCCTGATGGTTGTCTTTTTGTCCCCTTTCAGTTTGAGAACCTGGTAGAGAGCGATGAGGTAAGTATATAACTTACAGTCTGTGTTCTTAATGATTGTTGCTTTAGTTATACCTTTATTGTCTTGCTTTTTACTTTCTCATCCATTCTGCATCTTTTTCTTCTTTGATTAATTTATTTTAGTAAGAATTCAGAATTTTCTACTGTATTGTGAATATAATGCTGGACACAAGGGGTTTTTTTGCCTTTCATAGAATCCAAGAAACTTCAAAAAGAAGATATTTCTAATTCCTTTCCCTTATATAAGTAAAATACTTCAATCTAGAATCCCTGTTTTCTGTGGCTTTTTGAGGGTAGAATGTATGTATGATTATAAAATTTCTCACTTTAACCTTTATCTCCGTCAATTGTTATTAATATTGATTTTTTATATCTTTATTAAAAGCTCAGTCAAATTTAAGATGAACCTAAGAATAGAAATGCTAAAATATTTTAAAAAAATACAATTTCGAGTCAGTGAGCTGTGTTATGTACTTAACATGCAGAGGCACAGTTAGGAGAGCTGGAGTCTGTGTGCTGAGGTTCAGCTTTAGCCGTGTGAATGTGTACAGAGGACTCCCCTTCCTAGGGTCCTCGGAAAGGAAAACATGTCTACTTTCCTTTGAGTGTCTATGTCATGGGACCAGTGAGATAACTCAGCAGGTGAAGGCACTTGGCACCAGGTGTGAGTTCAGCCGCCAGGACCCACCTGGCAGAAGAGGGAAGCTGACTCCTACAAGTTGTCCTCTGACCTCTACATGCCTGCCATGACTCACATGTGGAGTTGAGCACAAATACACACACATAATAAATAAAATGTAATTTTAAGTTATTAAAGTAGTTTAAATTTGTCCAATTAAACTTTTCTCAAAGTAATTTGATAGAAAGACTGCCCAAGCCAGGCAGGACTGGCACACACCTTTAATCCCAGCACTTTAATCCCAGAGGCAAAAGCAGGTGGATCTGTGGGTTCAAGGCCAGCCTGATCTATACAGTGAGTTCCAGGTCAACCAAGGCTATACAGAGAAATCCTGTCTAGAAAAACAAACAAAAGAAAAAAGATCTTCCAAAAGCAGGCATATACAACATTATGTGGTAGATAGTTTAGGGAAGCAGTCTTCATTTTTCTAGAGAAGCAGCACCCGCCTTCTGTGGAGTCTCCTTCCTTCCCTTCGCAGTGGTTGCCTCCATCTCCTCCTTCTTCACAAACAAGACTTCTTTCAGCTTCATAGCCCACCTCAGAGCATCCTGCTTCTCAGAAGAGCCGGTGCCCTTCTCTGAGGTGCTCTTTAGGAGTGCGCTAGGGCTTTTTGCTAGTTCTCACTCTGCTGACCAGCCTCTCTCCTGCCCCACTTGGTCCTGGCTACTTACCATCCTGTTTTGTGATGCTATTTCCCACGCGAATGTGGACCTTTGAGAATTTGATTCATTATTTTGTAAAAGAAACTAAGCCAATCCATTTTTTTATTTTTAGATTTATCTTTTATTCACATATGTGTGTATTCTGTTGAGTGTATGCCATGTGTGTGGGTACTTTCAGAGAGCAAAAGAAGGTAGTAGATCAGGTCCTCTGCAGCTGGAATCGCAGACGGCTGTGAATCACATGGTGTGGGTGCTGGGAATTAAACTCAGATCCCTCTGCAAGAGCAGCACTGATCATAACTGAACCATTTTCCCAGCTCCAACTCATGTGGTAGCTAAAGTATTTCAGAATCCCCATGAATGCTGGCAGCCAATCCTTCCTCCTAGGGGAACTAAGATAGACTCCTGAAACCTCTGCTCTTAGCGTTTCATGACGTGATAAATGTATAGGCTTATTTCATGTTTCTATTGAAAATACTTTCCTTAGCATAGTTGCTAGCTTGGACTTTGAACTCACTGTCAACATGCTTTACTGAAATTTTTCTACCCACAGAGTCTCTCTGTGAGATCCATCACACCTTGTGCTTAGGAACATCAGGGAGCAGCTGTACACCATACTGGGGGGCGGGGGGTGTTGTATTTTAAGCCAGAATCTCTCTGTGCCGGGGATTATTTTTAAATAGTGAAGTCACAGAGCACAAAATGCAGGCAGCATGACAGAAGCTCCCCTTCTGTGTGAGACCTGTGACGAGGGCAGAGTGACCCCCATTGTACTTCCCATCCTTGGCCGGCTCCTAGTCATTTGCTGGTCTGCATGCTTTCAAGAGGCCAGAAAGTCTACAGCAGTGGTTCTCAACCCTCCTAACACTGCAGCCCTTGATACAGTTCCTCATGGAGCGACCCCAGCCATAGCATTAGTTTGTTCTTACTATGAATGATATGCAACCCCCTCAAAGGGGTCATGACCCACCGGTGGAGAACAAGAATACTGATTTCCAGGGCAGGGTTACAAAAAAAGTTTTTAATAGGTATGTAAATTTTAAAACTTTTAAGATCAGAATAGCAAACATCACCCACAAATGTTGAAGACATAGTGAGTGTGTTGTCTGGCACTTCCTAACTGTGAGTTCATTTGCTACATAACAAATATTAGAAAAATTAAGAATTATCCAACAAATGGTTATTCTATATTTGAGTTTTGCCTTTGAAAAATAGTAAAGTTTTTTTGTTTGTTTCAAATCCTTTTAATAATGAATTTGCTTACTGTGGCAGAAATAGGTAAGTAAAAATATTTTTGATTAAATGAAAATTGCTTTGGCTTGCCTTAGTGAGTTCAATTAGTGAAAATTCTTTTACTTGTTTAATTTTCGTGCAGGGGGAGAGTCCAGGAAGCAGCCATAGGTAAGGCTTTTCAAAACAATAAAATGTTTAAGTCTTATGTGACAGAACTTTCCTGGGGAGATATAGCACACCCATCTCTCACTCGACAGGGAGCCCAGACAGACTACAAAGTACAGACACCACTGAGTCCCCCTTGGGGTACCAGTGAGTTTATTGGGCTGACTTATAGGAGCAGAAGTGACTCAAAAGACAGCTGGATCACCTAGGCCACCCCAGTATGGGTGACAGCTCATAAGATTGGGGACCTGGAGCTTACTGCACAGCCTGCAGTGGTGTCCTTTCCAGGTGCCTTGGTTGGTCTAAAGTTCTTGTAGGCAGCTGGTCTGATCTCAGAGTCTTCTTTGCAGCTTGGTTTATCTGAGAAGGATGAGCAGCTTTCATTGCTCACTGTAGCAGGGAAGGGGCCTAGTGAATCCGGTCAGTTTCTGGGACTTTCTGAAGCCATTTTGAGTGTGTGAGCCCTTGAAATAAGCATTCCAGAGAGTTTCTTATCATAGTGTTCAAGACCCTGAACACTTGTGTTTCAGAAGCAAAATTTTCTCTTTATATAAAAGAAAAATAGCCAGGTGGTGGTGGCGCACGCCTTTAATCTCAGCAGTCAGGAGACAGGCAGGTCTTTGTGTGTTCCAGGACAGGCTACAAAGGAACCCTGTCTTGAAAAATCAAGAGGGCGGGGGTTAGACAAATAATAATTGCCCTAATACTATTTTGAATAATAAAAATGTTTATTTATGCCAGTTTCTCAGTTTTCTGTCTAAATTAGGCCTAGGTTATAAATCATTTAGTTTTCTTAGAGCCGCTTAGCACTGACAACTCCGTCTCTTTTTTTGTCCTACCCCGTTTTCTTCATTGTGACGTTCCAAACAATGGTTCTCAGCCTGTGGATCGAGACTCCCTCTGGGGGTCGAATGATCTTTTCACAGTGGTCACATATTTACATTATATGCCATAACAGTAGTTACAGTGTGAAGTTGCAACAAAAATAATTTGATGGTTTGCGGGGGGGTCACCAAAACATGAGAAACTGTACTAAAGGGCCACAGGGTTAGGAAGGTTGAGAACCATTCTACTAAAACATTCTCCAATTACTTACTACTTCAGAAGTAACTAGAACCTTATGCTGTAGTTTATTCACATAGTCTTCTTGTCTGCTGTTAAATTGCACAGACTGCTTGCAAAAGAAGGCTTGGTCTTTAACTCCGAAGTTCCTAAGCAGGAGAGAGGGCTCAGTGGTTAAGAGCACTGACTGCTGATTCACTAGTTTGATTTCCAGCACCCGCAGGGTGGCTCACAATCATTTGTAACTCCAGTTCTAAGACCTTCTTCTGGCCTCCCTGGGTACCGTACATGCAGGCAGGACAACCCATACACACACACACAAAAGATGTTCCTATTGTCAAGGGAATTGTTTCCTATTTTGGTCATTTTGTCCTTGCATTTTTTAGTTTAGCAAACCTTATTGGGCAGCTGTCCATGTGCTAGGTTTGAAAGATCAAGTGTGCTCTTGGTGTGGTGTTGCAGATTGTGATGGCTGCACTGGAGACACAAAATCAGGTGAAGTAGACCTCTGATAGCACACCCGGGAAGATTGCCTGGGCTGCACGAACCTCTTAAAAAGAAAAAAGCAAAGGCTGAGAATATGGCTTGGTGGTAGAGTGCTTGGGTAGCATGCACAAGGCCTCCCTTGTGAAAAGCCCTGGTTAGTCTAGTCTCAAGCTCTCTCTCTCTCTCTCTCTCTCTCTCTCTCTCTCTCTCTGTGTGTGTGTGTGTGTGTGTGTGTGTGTCTGTCTCTCTGTCTCTGTCTCTCTGTCTCTCTCTCTAACAGCTATTATAAAACATACTAGTGAAGCTAGGGAATATGTGACCAAAATATGTGTGGGGAGGTGTGTCCAAAGGGGCTTCTTTTAAGCAGATGACATCTGGCTTAATCTCTAAAGAGTTGGTTAGCAGTTTTTAGCCCGGCGAAGGAGACCTTCATGTATAGTCAAAAAATGCATACAAAGTGAGACAGTTGATGAGAAGGAAGCACTGGGGGAACTGTGTAGAGAGATGGAAATGTGTGTCTTGCTTTCAGTGAAAGTTATGGAGAAAACATAAAAGTCCAGGGTCTCTGCGCAGGTGCAAACGAGACAGAATCCTAGCACTGGCAGGGGGAAGTGGACACAGGGTCCCACCCCTAACCAAGAAGCTGTTTATAGTTGGTACCTGCCAGGACAAGGAATTTTAGTTCTCTTTGATGGAGTGTGTGTGTGTGTGTGCGCGCGTGCGTATGTACGTATATGTATATACATCAACCCCAACCCAGGAGTACTTGGCCAAAACAAAACAGATTGCATTTTTTGTAAGCCTTTTGTTTTGTTTTGATATTTTTTTATCTTAACTGATTTTCTTTTTAGTTATCTGTTTTCATTTTTTGTTTTATGTTTATTTTTTTTTTGAGGCAGGAGAAGAGAGGGCATGAAATTGGATGGAGAACGAGGTAGAGAAGATCTGGGGGCATTAAGGGAAGGGAAGGAATACAATTGAAATATTTTACGTGAGAAGTTTTAAGTTTGCTTTTAAATGAATATATCTAAGGTCTTAGTATTGTTGTACTTTGCTTTGTTTCGGGATGTGTTTGTCTGGAATTAGGAATTTGCTACACAGCCCAACTGGCCTCGAGTTCTATGTGGTTCAGAGTGGCCTTTAATTGTTGATCCTTCTGAATGCTCATAATTTTAGCCCACTTTGCCATGCCCAGGGGTAACCAGCTCAGTGGTAGAGCATTTATCTAGCATTTACTAAATCAGGGGGTCATTCCCCACCCACCCCCTCAGAGGGTTGGGCTCGCAAACCTGCGTTGCAGGATGATATAAAATAGAGCGGGAGGAAGAGTGGTGTGGGAATTACATAGGCACTCAGTGGAAGAGTTTGAAAACGAATGAGAAGTGGTAGAAAGAAAGAACCATCACAGCCTAGAAAGGCAAAAGGTAAATGAGAAGGGGCAGGCCAGGCTTGGGGGATGCTCAGCCTGTTCATGAAACTTCGGTAGGAAGGACTTAAGTTGTTTAACGACACAGAAGCCGTTGAGTCCAGCGTTACTGGAGTGGCGGAAGCTGACGACTGTGTGCTGATGAATGGGGGGGAGGCAAGGACGTGAGGACAGGGAACAGGGGGCTGGACCACCTGCATTTAAATCCTAGTTCTCCACGTGCTCACCCTTAATCTGCGTCCATCTCATTGCCTTCACCTGTAATCGCTGCCTCTATACGATATACGTGCAAAGCATTGGCTTGAATGAATTCTAAGTGTAGCAGTGACCTCAGGTAGGTTACTGCCTCCTTAGGAGAGGGAAGGAAGAATAAGATATATTTAAGCAAGGGAGTAGAAGTCAAATTAAGTTACTTTTAAGAAAAAGTTTGAATAGGAAACAAAGTTACAGAGTTATGTAGGCAGTCACGTGAGTAAATTAAAGGACTGTTGCTGGAGACTGAGGGCCAAATTGTTGCCGCATTTTTTCCCTAGCAGCCCACAGCAGAAAGGACTAAAGTGGGAAATGTTCAGGGCCCAGAGACAGGCAGAGTAATTGGTGTGATGGTAGGAACACAGGAAGGTGTGTGGTGAGAAAGGAATTGGGGCCTGCTATGAGATCCCCGCTGTCCTGAGTGGAGGCCAGGAGATACTGGCTGGATGGAGCAGTGTGAGGAAGGACGAAGCGTCCAGGGAGCCCGGGGCGATCGGTGGGAGGGCAAGACTGGCTGTGAGCCCTGGGAAGAGAGTACAGCGCACTGAAGTTGTGCTCTGTGCTGAGCTGTCTGGGTGTGGTGTAGGGTGTAGTGTAGGGTGTAGTGTAGGGTGTAGTGTTTGGGTGTAGTGTAGGGTAGCTGTCAGGTAGAGCCTGTGCAGAGAGTAGCCAAGTCTGTATTATTAATGGGCAGCTACAGAGGAAAGGAAAGCGTATCATCTTACACCGACAGGAAGACTTCTATTATATTTCAGTTTATAGTTTCACATAGCAATTGAAGCTGTATCAGGTTGCTTTCATACAGTTTTGGGTAGGAAAAGTTCAGCGTTCCCCTGGCTTTTGGAATGTTTTATTTGGACTCAGGTTCATCAGCAGGGCTTTTGTTTGTTTTGTCTCCCCCCCCCCCCCCGTTTCTTAGGCCACTTACTGAGGAAGAAATTGTTGACTTACAAGAGAGGCATTATGATTCGATTGCTGAAAAACAGAAAGATGTGGATAGGAAACTCCAGAGGGAGGTAAGTGCTGTGCCCTGGTTGATTGAATATACGTGAAGCCTGTTGGTGGGGGTCTCACCGGTGTGTTACCAACAGTCACTGACCTCTGTTTCCATAACTACAGAGAAAAATGATTTCAAAGTGGAAGCTTATTCCGCCTTACTGTGATTTGATAGAGGTCATGTGATGTCGCAGCAAAACAGGTAGTTCTCAGGTAGTTCTCAGTTCACTAACAGGAGTGCCAAGCCAGAACAAGCACCTTTGCCGCAGCCAGCCTAAATCAGCTGCTCTGTTTCTCAATGAGCCGTGTTTAAGGTTTTGTTTGTTTTGGGTTTTTTTTTTTTGTTCTCAGTGAACCAAATACCCTACCAGTCAAAATTGTTGCATAAATCTGTGGACATGTCCTGTGATCACAGCTTCATTATCACTGAACTAAAGAGAATTAGTTGTTTTCCACTCCACATTGAAAGCAGTCTTTTGAGCTGGGCATGGTGCTATGTGCCTATAATCCCAGCACTTGAGAAGTGCAGGCAAGAGAATGAGTTTGAGGCTAGCCTTAGGAACATAGCAAGTTCAAGGTTGACCTGAACTATATATTTAAGGAGACCCTGTATCAGAACTAACCTTCTGGTCCCCTAGGCCAGCTAGAGTGTACAAGGTGCTGGGCTCAGTCTGCAGTACCAGAGGGAATTTTTTTAAAGTAAAAATAAAAACAGTACATTTTTTATTACTAATCATATTTAATAGTAATATTTATTACTAATAATAATTTTATTATTAATCAACTATTAGTGAGTTACAGTGTGTTAATTTAATCTACACAGGAGATGACGACAGTACTCTAAAGAAGGAAGGTTAATACCTGGTGTGTTAACTTAGGTTTCATGTGCAATACCTACCACTGAGCTTCTGTGTAAGCTGTTGTGGAGAATAAGAGCTTAAATTGCAAAGCAGTTTTTGAATGATGAATGCTAATAAAATTGAAAAATATGTATAGATGTCAATTAAGTGGAAAGACCAGAATTCGGAAAAAAGCATAGATATGATTGGCCTTGTATTTAGGTCTCTTTGATTTGTGAGGGCCAAACCCACTGTAGTTGGGGTGACAAGTATTAAAATGGTGACTGGAAATGAGGAGCATTGCGTTTTCTAAAGAACTCAGTCATGTCTTACATAGCATCTGGGGTATGTTGTGGGCAGCCACAAAAATAGCAGTATTGATATGCTTCGTAGATATCATTATTTTCAATGATTTCTGTTTTGTTTTGTAATCTATTGGAATAGCTGGTGTTTAGAGCAGCTAGACAGGTTCTGGTTTCCGTTAATCCTTACCGTTTTGTTCATGTACAGTTAGCCTTACAAGAGGAGAAGTTAAGACTAGAAGAAGAAGCTTTATACGCTGCCCAGCGTGAAGCAGCCAGGGCAGCAAGGCAGCGAAAGCTCCTGGAGGTGAGGGGGAAGACCCCAGCGCACACCAGGGTTACTTCTCCTTGTTTTCTCTGACTATTCCAAGTTGGGACTTTCCTGCTAGAATCAACAGCTCCTTGGGAAGCAGAGGATGTACTTACGCATATATCCCTAGGATCCTCAAAGGCAAATGAATCCATCCTGACCTTCTAGAAGAAACATACACATGATACTGTGTACTCTACAGCTTTAGATTAGCAGGAACTGATCCTTGTTTAGCCTAAGATGAATCCTAGGACTCTGTATTCAGACCCTTTTAGGAAAAATGTATTTAGAAGGCAAATATTTCAAAACTGGTCTTCAGTATAATTTCTCAAGCATTTTAGTGTATTTTCATGAAGATTTTTTAAAACAATTTCTTAAATTATAAGATTCTTATACTTAATATAAGCCAAGATATATGATTCATGGCTCACTAGGGGTATTGTTTAATTCTCAATTTCTTATGTGTCTGAGACACTAAGAGGTAGAGTCTTGAACATCTTTGGCATCTTATCAGGAAAGACAGATGTACCATCTCTTACCGTGACGTGGGGTTACGGCATTATTGCACATGCTTGACAACTGTCAGGAGCAGATTCTTATAACAGTGTCAGGAACGCTACTAAGAAGGTTCTTAGTTGAAAATTCACAGCAGTCTGGGAGAAAGGGAGCATTTGAAATCCCTACTCTACAGACGAGGAAGGTGAAGGGCAGGTCTTATAGCTGGGACCCCGGAGAGCCAGAGTCGAGGCATGGTGGTACTTAGCCCCAGTACATTGCTTACTGTCTCCCTCCGTCATTGCCTGGATGGGTTTGCCACGAGTGTTATGGTCCAGTGTTGAGTACAAAACTCAAATCACATGGAGATTTAGACAAACTGAAAAATCCTGTCTTTGTGATTTCTATGCGCCCGCCTCTCTTCTCCCTCCCTCCCTCCCTCCCTCCCTCCTCCCTCTCTCTTTCTCTCTTCATGGGGGGTGGGTTTCAGCAGGGTCCTTGTGGGGAAGTGTCCTTTTTAATATATCCTAAGTACTAGAAAATGTTAAAATTTTCACTTTCTATGAAACTATTTGATGCTCTTAATATAGACATTCTTTTTACAATAATAAATTCTCTGCTGTATCTGGTTAAAGCAGTGGTTCTCAACCTGTGGGTCGTGATCAAAAGATCCCTTTCACAGGGGTTGCATATCAGAGTTTTACATTATGATTCATAGCAGTAGCAAATTTATAGTTATGAAGTAGCAATAAAAGTAATGTATAGTTGGGGGCCACCACAACATGAAGAACTGTATTGAAGGTCACAGCATTAGGAAGGTTGAGAACCACTAGGTTAAAGCATTCCACTGAAGCATGTGTCACTGTGGGTAATCCAGGTTCTCTGTGTTCTTGCTTCCACGGCTAAATGCTTGTTCTGGGAATACATCATTTGCATATCATACATGAACCCAACTGTACAGACACGTGCTAGTTCATTGCTTTTCATAGTAACTGAATCTGCTAAGGCAGGAAAGTAGCCATCTGTATTTAAAAGATGCAGCAGCAGAAGGTTACACTGTGCCAGGAATATACAGTCACTTTCAAAGCACAGCTCCGAGGGATCTAGAGAAGCCTGTGCTGAGTCCCAGATAATCCACTGCCATTAACATTCCCGAATCAGCTCAGCCTTCCAAACCCTTACATTTCTCCTTATTCCATGTCAAAGAAGACAGCAGCATGACCTGACAGCTGGCTTCCTGCCTTACCCTTCTAGTCATGGAGGTTCTTAGAGTGTTGAGAACATGAGGGGTCCAGTACAGTTCACAACACTAGATATTCTCAGTCTGACAGCATCACACTGATGAACTGAGAAGAATTCCGTCCTTAAATAAAAGGATGTAGAAGTAGCGATGAAGGAAAAGATTTCAGTGGAATAATGCTAACTTTTTGTTTTTAGAAACTAGGCAAAGGATGTTGGCATTGCATGGGTATTTTTTAAAAGCGTTAACATCAAAATGATTCTGTATTACATTGTGTTTCCAAAGCAAGAAAAGCAGAGAGCTACACAGCGCTATCATCCTGGCAATGGAGACTATCAAAGGTAAAGGGCAACGTGTGTTTCCTCCTCCGTTTGTGGCAGAAAGTCTTATATGTAGACAGACCACTGTTCTTAAGATGTTTGTAAATGTATTCATACACTCGAGACCCCAGGTTCAGTCCTTAACACCCTTTCATATATACACTCATATACTTTCCTCTAAGACATTATCATAGAGAATACTGGGGACTTTTTCTTTTAGCTCTATGATCATTTATTCATAATGACTTTGATGCATTTGTAAGGGTAACAGCATCTTCATGTAGAAAGGGCTGTGGTAACTGGACTCCTTCAGGTAAGTTGGTAGCAACCTTCGTTGTTTATTTTCCTTAATGAAGAACATGCCCATGCTTGTTGGTAGAGGGTTATTGTGAAGTTGAACTTACCAATCAGCTTTGAGGATTGGTCTTCACAGTTAATCTGTTTTCAGTTTCATGGTAGCATTAAAATTTTCACCAGAATATTCTGATTATACAGCAGTTATAACTTGGGGAAGAGACTTCAGGCCAGAAATCCCGTCACTCACATAAGTATTCATTCTGTTCGTCTATTCCAGACGCATTTTCTAAATTCACTTTTATTACAGTGCAGGACCAGAAGACGACTTCGAATCTTGTTTGAGAAACATGAAGTCACAGTACGAAGTTTTTCGAAGTAGTAGTAAGTCTTTTAAAAGATTCTCTCCACATTTTCAGTTTACTTTTTACCACATTAAGAGCTGTATTTGTGGAAGTTTGGAGAAACATTAAGATTTAGAGAGACAATCATTACCCAAGAAAAGAGAAGAAAGCACACAGCTGCTGTGGGAAGAGCACGGTGACATTTTGTTCGTTTGGTGTGTGTTCCAGGACTCTCATCCGATGCCACGGTACTGACACCAAATACTGAAAGCAGCTGTGACTTAATGACCAAAACCAAGTCGACCAGTGGGAATGACGACAGCACCTCCTTAGACCTGGAGTGGGAAGATGAAGAAGGTCTGTCACCTTGTTGTCCCTCGGAGTCACACTGACCCTTGTTGGTCCAAATGTTTTCTGCCTTGTGTTTAGTGGTATTTAAATTTAGTATATTCAAGCCCATTAAAAAATTATCATCAGACTTTTTCTTTAGTGGAGTTTCACTGTGTAGTCTGAGTTGTCTTGGAGCTCACTCTGTAGGCCAAGCGGCCCAAACTCATAGAGATCACCACCTCTGCCTGCTGAGTACCAGGCTTCAAGGCGTGAGTCCAACATCCAGCTGACAATTACTGTTATTTGTTTCTTAATGTGTAGGTTTTTGTGTGTGTGTTTGTGTATACATGTATAGCAAGTCTTTCTCCATTCTGCCAGCCAACTCCCAGTTATGACCAGAGACTTACTATTAATTGTGAAAGCTCAGCTGATAGCTTAGGCTGTTTCTAACTGGCTCTTATAGCTTCAGTTAACCCATACCTTTTCCTCTACATTCTTTTACATGGCCTGGTTACCTTTATGCTGTATTGCCCATGCTGCTTCCTCTGCATCTTTCTGGCATCTCCCTTCTTCCCAGCATCCTCTCTGCCCAGATTCCTGCCCAGCTATTGGCTGTTCAACTTTTTAATTAAACCAATCAGTGACACTGTGTGCAAAAAGTTTATCCCACCACACACATGTGCACACCACAATGTGTGTGAACGACAGGGAAGGGGTTGGGCTCAGGCCATTCTGCTTGTCAGCAAGCACTTTTACCAGCTCAGCCATCTTGCAAACCCATGACTATTGCTTTGTTATCAATTATCATTTCATGATAAATTGTTTAGAAAATTACTGAAGTTTTTCATGTTTCTTGGGATTTCGAAGGCAAATGTCAATTTTTTATTTAAAAGGTCTTTTTTCATTTTATATACCAAACACAGTTTTCTCTTCTTCCTCTTCCCACCCCTGTCCCCCTATCTTTCCCCCCATCCACTCCTCAGAAAAGATAAAAAATATCTGGTGTATCAAGTTGAGGCAGAACCAAGACATCCTCCCCTCTCCCGTATCTAGACTGAGCAAGGTATCCTTCCATAAGGAATGGGCTCCAAAAAGCCAATTCATGCACTGGGGATAAGTCCTGGTCTTATTGCCATTGGCCCCACAGACTGCCCAAGCCATAGAGTTGTCACCCACATTCAGAGGGCCTAGTTCTGTCCTATGTAAGTTCCCCAGCTATCAGTCCAGAATCAGACGCTCCCACTAGCTCGGGTCAGCTGTCTCTGGGTTTCCCATCATGATCTTGATCCCTTTGCTCATATAATCCACCCTCCCGCTCTTCCACAGGACTCCAAAAGCTTGGCCCGTTCTTAGCTGTGAATCTCTGCATCTGCTTCTGTCAGTTATTGGGTCTAGGTTCTGTGATGAAATTAGGGTAGTCATCAGTCTGTGTACGGGGAAGGCCAGTTCAGGCACCCTCTCCACTATTGCTAGGTATCTTAGCTGGGGTCATTCTTGTGAATTCCTGGGAGTTTCTCTAGTACCAGATTTCTCCCTAACCCTATAATGGCTCCTTGTATCAAGATAATTGCTTTCCTTGCTTTCCCTCTTTGTCCCTCCCCCAGTTCAACCATCCTGTTCCCTCATGTTCTCCTCCTCCCCTCCCCTTAATCCCTTCCTCTCCCCGCTCCTCCCCTATGCTCCTCCATCCCCTCTCCCCCTCCCAATTTTCTCAGAAGATCTTATCTATTTCCCTTAGAAAGCAAATGTTAAGTTTTTAAAAAATGTTTCTAACCTAACTCAGGGAGCTTTCCACATGAGGGATTACTACATCTTTCTGAAAAGTTTAAAGTCAAAACTTGATTAATGTCTAATTCACTATAAACGAACAATTTAATTCTTAAGGTTTTTTTTGTAGAACATAAGCTATTGTTCTATAGAAGTCTGAATTTTATCTGTTTAGTCTTCCAAGTCATAGTATCTTACATAGATTACTTAATCTCTCTAAGTCGTAGTTGTTCATCCTCAAAAGGGGATAATAATAAAGGATAATTTTCATGTTTTATATAAGTGCTAATGTATTGCTATATATTGCTAAACAATAAAGTATCTGTCTAAGGAAGGTGTAGCTCAGAGGTGGAGTGTTTGCCTGGCATGTGCAAGGACCTGGCTTGGATGCTCAGCACACAAAAAAAGAAATAATAAAAAATTAATAAATATTTGGGGGAAATGAATATGGTAAACATTCAATATATGAAACACCTAATACAGGGAATGGTATTACATACAAGTGCTCAGAATTATAGTTATTTACTTGTTTTCATCACAGTTTTATTAAGATCCAATTTTTCATCTTCATGTTTAAAAACAGACAATGTAAGAAAGAATTACAGAATATAGAACTTAAAGGAAAATCATAAGCTTTAAACAGTTCATAAAATGTTGAAATGGAGTGGATCTTAGATACCCTTTAATCACGCTGGTTTGTTTGTCAGTTAGAAGACTTGGCAGGCAGAGCTTACATAGCCCTGTTACAGGCCGCGTTAGTCTGTTTAATCTTCCCAGTGGCGCCCCCATTAAGGGCTGTGCGTACCTTAATGTAGGCTGGGATCCCAGCCACCAGTGCGTTCGTATCTACTCTGTCATCTACATGTGCCAATCATATTCCTAGATTAGATTGCCTCAGGTTATTTAAAAAAAATTGTTCAATCAGCATAGGCAGAGGAAAGAATCCACTGGAAACCTCCTTTATGGTCAATACACAGTTGCCGCTTCCTTTAGAGGAATTTCAGTCCAAGGTGCAAATCCACAGTCTTAGGAATTCTCAGCCTACATAGGTTTCTATTTTGGTGGATGCAGATGTGTGTATATGCACAGTGTGTGTGTGTGTGTGTGTGTGTGTGTGTGTGTGTACATATGTGTGGAGGCGGGAGCCAACCTCAATGTCAGCCCTCTAGAGCTATCATTCTTCTCTTTTGAGATGGTCTCTAGGACCTGGGCTTACTAATATTGCCAGGCTGGCTGGTCATATTTTTATAATGTCCTCATCTGGTATAATAAGTTGCTTTATTGAGTTAAGTCTGATTTTTTTCGGGAGTGACAGACAACAGTAGTAAAGGTTTAATACTCCTTTTTCTTTCTTTACTGTGAGAGCTGATTCCTTAAGGTCAGAAGGTGGAGTTGGTTGTGTCTCCTAGTCCTTAGAATCTCTTTGCCCACCCTGGATTTTAGTTCTTTTACCAATGAAGATTAGTATTTAGGAATTTCTGTTCTTTCTCCCCTCCATCTGCTTCGGTATGTTTGAGATTCATGTTCCTAACAATTTATATCCAGAATGAAATCTAGACCTGTAAAACAACTGCAATCTAGTGCAGTAGAGAAACCGAAACAGCACGAGAACACAGACTTTGGAGCCAGACCCGGTGCGCTAGAATTCAGTCTTGGCCAGCATGAAGCTCAGCAGTAGAGACTGCAGCCCGCAGAGAGGCCCTGGGTTCAGCCCCTTTTCTACTTCATAGCTGTGTGACTTCGTGGGCACGTACCTGTCTGCTGCAGACTCTTCTCTCCCTGTGTAGCTGGTGCTCGTGCTCCACTTAACTTCACAGGGTCGGCTAAGGAGCTACAAGTGCAGGCAGTGTTAGCAGGGACCAGGGAGGTGCAGGAAAACCTGTCTCATCGCCACTGCAATGCAGTCTTCACCTTTCCCCAGGAAACGCAGCTTTTGTCCGGTAGGGAAAAGACCTTGGCAAAGCTACTGAGAGGCCTTATGAGACTCAGAGCAGTGGATTCCCAGTCTCTGTTGTGTTTGATTTGTGGCCCTTCAGAGATCTTATCAGGTGACCAGTGTTGCGTTTTTATCAGAGACATGTGATATGTGGTGATCGCACCCCAGGTTTTCTCTAAAGAAAGCTTCTGCAGGACTGGCTCCCAGTTTAATTCACTAGGTTAATTCACTAGAGTCAAACAAGACTCAAACTAGTATTAAACCAACAAGTCTTGATTGGTTCGTTGGTTTGTCTGTTTTTTGAGACAGTTTCTCTATAGCCCTGGCTGTCCTGGGACTCACTTTGTAGACCAGACTGGCCTCAAACTCAAACTCTGCCTGCTGGGTACTGGAGTTAAAGGTGTGTGCCTCTATGCTGGTTTAGCTGGCAAGTTCCTTAATACAACTTTTTATTATGCTAGGAATGAATCGGATGCTGCCAATGAGAGAGCGCTCAAAGACAGAAGAAGACATCCTCCGGGCAGCACTGAAGTACAGTAGCAAGAAGGGCAGCAACCCTACATCCGCCTCTGATGACTCCAACGGGCTGGAGTGGGAGAACGACTTCGTCAGCGCCGAGATGGATGATAACGGCAATTCGGAGTACTCCGGGTTTGTGAATCCCGTATTAGAACTGTCAGATTCTGCCACCAAGCAGTCTGATACGGATCAACAGATCCGATAGGATGAAACTGTGTGACCTACTTACCAAATGTTAAAAATCACCTAGAATGTACAGATGGGTGCTGAGCCTTTTTGTAAGGTGGCATAGGAACCTTGTGACAAGTGCTTGTTTTCGTAGGAGCAGGAGTGGAGAGACAGCTGAACGCTTCGGTCAGGCGCGGTCTCAACATCTGCCCTCTGTGTCCCAGGACTGACGCAGTGATCTGACATATCAAACACTCACGGCATTCCTGTTCACCCTGGTCAGAGTTCTGCATCTTAAATCATTTTTATTTTACTTTGACTGCTTTACTAAACCTATTTTATTACAGAAATAAAAATCTAAAAGTCTTTTGTTAGTTCTCAGCAGATATAAAGGCACCATGAAGGAGGGATGTTGGAATTACTTAGAAGGCTGGTCCCTTTTCCAGCATCGTTTACTTTGACGAGTTCCTTTAATTTGGTTGTCTAGTAGTCAGCAGTTAATTGGAGATGACCCCAAATCACGCTGATATATGGGTTTCTTTCCACACATGCTAATTCAGTGTTTACTCAATCTGAATAAAAGATAATAGGATTAAAGAAATTTTCAGTTTGGACACTTTGAATTGGTAATAATTAAATAATAGTTAACAATATAAATTATTTTTTTTACTTCCTTTTACATGCCACTATGTTGGCTTTAAATTGAGATCTTAAGTGTTTGCTTTCATTTTTTATTTCTATATTTCCAGTGAATGATCTGCAAGATTTTACACAGAACATATTCTGTGAATGATTTAAGAAAACATTAAAATACGGGTATTTCCAAATAAATAAAATCCTTTCTGATATGAAAGGTCCTGTTGATTGTATTGCCCTTTCCTTTGCCTTGTAGTACAAGGTGCTTTGTGGGATGGAACTAATGTATCTGTGTATTGACGGCCTGTGTCTGGATCCACGTGGAAGACCAGGGCTGAGAAACACTCCCTAACTGCATTCCTTGGTTGGCTGAGGACTGAGTGTCACTGTGGCGAGCACACTGTTCTCTCTCCCTTGCTGTCTTGCTCTCTTCAGCAGTGATGGTGCATGCTCTCAACGGTACAGGAAGGCCCAGGTAGAGATAGTGAAGTTCTTCTGTCCATGAAAAGATGTGTGGCCCTTTCGATATCTGAACTGCTATACAATGACATCTGCAGTTTTGTCATTTTTTAATCTCATAGAAATAAAGATACTTTGATATGTAAATATGCATTAGGTTATGCTATTATTTATATGTGTCTTAAAATTTAAATTGCAGTTGTGCCATGGAAATAATTTAAAAATACTCTATATTCACATTGCCTGTGTTCCTGCTTTTTAAGGTTTATATTACATCAGATGTATATTTTTGGTTTGGCATAAGCTACTGTTGTAATATTTTGGCTTTTTGTTCATAAAGAATTTTCTGAAGGAATGGTAACTTCTCAAGGATTGTGAATAAACATTTTTACATTTAATGATATTTGCATATTGCTGGTATTGCTTCATAACAGTACAGATAGTGAGACTCTTGGTATATAATTATTTTCCTTAATCAGATATGAAGATAAAAGACTGGAACTACCTGTAAAAATATGCTTTAATTACCAAGAAAAAGAATTGTTGTGTTTTGGGTTTTTTTTATTGTTGTTTATTTTTTATTTTTTCCCTTTGCTTTGTTTATAAAATGCTAAGAATGGCATTTGTTCCGCAGACTTTGGCGAATCTCCTGGGTAGGGAAGAGTTTGAGGGGCCCTGCTCTCTCACTTCCTGTTCTGATGAGAGACGTTGATGAACACTGTCCTAGTGACTTTCCTCCTGCCAAAACAAAACACCGTGACTGAGGAGCTATTGGGAACTTATGGTTCCAGAGGACTGGATTGTATGACCATCATGGCAGGGAGCATGGCAGCAGGCAGAGAGGCCTGGTGCTGGAGCAAAGCTGGGAGCTCCCATCTGATCCACAAGCACAAAGCCGACAGAACTAACAGAGAAATGGCATGGGCGTTTGGAACTCAGAGCACAGCCACTCCCAGTGACACCAGCTGTACAAAAAGCACTCAAATACATGAGCCTCTGAGAACCGCTTTCATTCAGACCATCAAATTTTGCTTCCAATTCCTGCCCCCCATAGGCCCATGACCATACTATAATATAAAGTGCATTTAGTCCAACTTGAGAAATCCCCACAGCAAAGTTTCATCTGAGGCTTGAGGCAGTCTCTTAATGGTAACCCTTTGCAAGATGGAAAAACTAATTAAAGTTCATGCTTCCAATATACAGTGGCGCAGAGTGTACAGTACCATTCCAAAGGGAGGCATGGTGGCAAAGCGAGAAAATTACTGCACCAAAGCCAGACAGAAACAGTAGAGCAAACTCCCAGCTCCTGTAGCTCTTTGTCCAATCCCAGTGGGCTTACGTGGACCCATCCTTCCAGCTTTGCTGACTGCAACACACTTCTCTGTCGAGGGCTGGTTCCACTCTCTCTATGCCACTTGACAGACATTCCAGGGCTCTGACATCGCCATCACGCTGGGGTCTCCAACACAATCTAGGCTTCACCTTCACATCTTCATGCAGTGGTCTCCATACAGAGACTCCATGCCACACCTGGCTTCAGGCTTTCCAAAGAGTCCATAGCCCCTTACTCCCCTATCCTTAAGACTCTAAAGTCAGAACTACAGGTCCAATATTGCCAAGTTTGGCTATGACCTACCTCCTCAGATTACATTTGAATGAGCTGTGATTTATTGGTGCTTTCCTTTATTGGATAAACTTTTCTTTATTTTAGGAGAAGATTGATTTGGCATTTCCTTTTTGTAAGGTGGACACATAGCTGGGTGGGGCCTTGCCCGGAAGGTGCCACTCCTGTCACTCCATTTCATACCAGACCTTTCTTTAGACATCTCTCTTTAATCACAGGGTGGCTTCGGCATTAAACTTCCTGGTGCCCTTTTTCTCCTCACACTGTACATTTCGTGTGCCTTTTTGTCCTGCTTGGACCATTTTCACTGTGGACCTGCATAATGGTGTTCAATAATTACCACGCCACAGCCAATATTAGGCTGTCTTCTATGCCAGCGAAATTAGTTCCGAACTCTTCACTTGCTTCAGACAGAGTCTTAGGACAAGGGCGAAAAGCAGTCACATTCTTTGCCAAAATAGTACAAGAATTGCCTCTAGCCCAGCTGCTAATATTGTTCCCCTCTGAAACCTCTTGAGCTGGGACACCGGAGGTCACATTGCTCTCAGCACCACTCTGGGTTGTTTTGTTTTGTTTTGATTTTTCAAGGCAGGGTTTCTCTGTACCTTTGGGGTCTGCCCTGGAACTAGCTCTTGTAGACCAGGCTGTCCTCAAACTCACAGATCCACCTGCCTCTGCCTCCCAAGTGTTGGGATTAAAGGTGTGTACCACTACTGCCTGGCCACTCTGGCTTTCAAGCTCCTGCTAGGATGGCTTACAGCATTCAACCGCTTTCCTAATCCCAAACCCTCCTCCGTGTTCCTTCAAAAAACAGCATGGTCAGCCTTGTCATAGCAATACCTTACTGGTACCAACTTCTGTCTTTCTTGGCAGAAGTTTCTGTCCTGCCTGGTCCCACAGCTGTTCAGTCCCAAAGAAAGACATAGAGGTTTACATTCATTATGAACTGGCTGGCCTATTAGCCCAGGCTTCTTTATTATCTCTCACATCTTAAATTCACCCATAATTCTTCTCTGTGTTAGCCACATGACTTGGTACCTTTTATCAGTGAGGCATTCTCATCTTGTTTCCTCTGCATCTGGGAGTCAACTGCAGACTGAGCCTTTCTTCTTCCCAGAATTCTCCTATTCTAGTCACCTCGCCTATCCTTCCTACTTGGCTACTGGCCAATCAGCATTGTTAAACCAGTACAAGTGACACATCTTTACAGGGTAGAAAACCACTGTCCCACAGCATGTCTTACTCTGTTACTGTGAAGAGGCACATGACTAAGGTATCTTATACAAGATAAAGAGTATTGGGGTTCATGGTTCCAGGGGACAGAGTCCATGTCCATCATGGCAGGAAGCATGGCAGCTGTCAGGAAGGCATAGCCCTGGAGCAGCAGCTGAGAACTTCGGGTTCACACACATGAAGGCAGAGAGAGTACTGCGACATTGCATGGGCTTTTGAAACTTCAAAACCCACCTCTAGTGACACATCCTCCAAGGACACATCTCCCAATCCTTCCCAAAAAGTTCCACCAACTGGGTACCAAGTATTCAAGTATATGAGCCTATAGGGGCCTTTCTCATTCAAACCACCACAAACATGTCTGTCCAAAAAAAAAAAAAAAAAAATCACAGACCAGTTAGGAAATTCACAAAGTGATTGGGTAAGGTAACAAGACCTAGTGAGATCTTCCCACAGGTCAGGAGACTTCTTGTCAGAGGAGACATTTGTTCTGGGTCTTGAGCAGGTGGGAGAGCCTGGTGAAGAAGGTTGTAAGTCAGGAGAAGAGTATGTGCAAAGTTCATGGGGTAGGAAAAGAAAGACTCAGGGCTTGAAATATCACGAGGAAGGGGAAGAGTTGTAAGAGGTGGTAGGAGCGTGTCAGGGGCCATTTATACGCCTCACAGGCCATTGTCAGAAGCAAAAGAGAGAAACTTTTTTGATGTGTAATAGAATGCTGACATAGAGTGATCAGATCTTCATTTTTGAAAGTCATTAAGTAGGGAATAGGTTATAAGAAGGGCTAGCTCGGACACAGTACTCCCAGTGAGGTGGCATGCGGCTAAGTTCACAATGGCCGTAGAGAATAGGAGCCAGTTTTAGAGGGAGACTCACGAGGGTTTCCCATTGAGTTGAATATGGGGATAAAAGCAAGGACTGAATCAGCTCTTCTGCTCAGTGTGTCCAGTCCATACAGGCAGGACTCAACACTGATGCAGATCTGGGGGGGCTCTTCTGGGATGTGGGAAAGTAGTCAGTCCTTATAGGAACTGCCAGGCATTTCTCATCGCCCTCTCTGCCAAGAGGCGGTGCTCATCCAGCTCCATCACTCTGGTGACGCATAGAACTGATGTCACCCCATTGAGACATCTACTAAACTTGGCCACAGTCTAGTTGGTCCTCCACAATGTAAACATAGACTACTCTGATTCTGCTTATGTCACCTCTGATTTGTTTCCTTTGACTCAGTGACATCTTAAGAGCATCCCTGAGAATGACCCCATGCTCCTTTGGTTTGCTCGTAAAAATAAGTGTCTGAGTTCATTGTTTCCCTTCTGGATAAACCTGTGAATATTTGACAGCCGACCTGGCAGTCACAGCCCTACCTGACGAAAACCTCTTGCTTCTGACTTGACCTAATCAGAGCAATGGAAAGAACAGGATTAGGTGGGGGAAACAAAAAAATTCGTTGGGAAAGTCAAATGCGATATTTCCATGGGGGTCAGATCAAAAGGTGTTTGTGTATGTCTGCCATTCAAGGAAGAAGTGTCACTGTAAGTTTGAGGAGTATTGGCAGACATGTTCATTGTCTCATTTCTGCCATTAAATACGCAAGCAAAAGCCACTTAAGGGGGAAAAGGTTTGTTCTGACTCACGGTCAGGAATGCAGTCCATAGCAAGGAAGTCTGGAGATGGACACATTGTGTCCACCACCAAGAAGTCCAGAATGATGATCCCAGGCCTCGGCTAGTATTCTTTCTGTGTAGTCCAAGTCTCCATCCCTCAAATGGACCATCCGCAGTTAAGGTGCCTCTTTCCACCTCCACCTAGAGAATCCTTCCCGGGCATGCCCCGAGGTGTGTCTCCTAGGAGATTCTAGATCCTGTAAAGTGACATTAGCCATCCCAGTAAATGGGTGCTACTTTAAGTCATATCCGCTGAGAAGTCCAGCTTCTTGGGGTGCAGGAGGAGATTGGTGTAGAAAGTCACCTATCTGATGCTGATACGGAGTTTGAGAGTTGGGTCACCAGCACCAGACGATTTGAAAAGGTGACCCGTGAGCTTGGGGAACAACAGGACTGATGGAATGCTTGTGTTAGACAACGGAAGGGTGTGAAGAACAGAGAAGAATCGGAGTAGATATTCTATTTGCAGGGGTTTTCTGTAGAAGTGTGGTAGCTGGGGGGGGGGGGATGGGCATCATGGGAGGATCTCACTGAAGAGTCTACGGTATCCCTCTAAAATGGTAGAATTTGAAAAGGTGCCCTTTTTTCAGAAGTTGTGTAAATATATTCCAGCAGAGGACAGACTTTACATTTTACTTTTGCTACAGTTACCCCAATCATAGTTGATTAACCGACATCTACTAAGATATTATATTGAATACAATATTTTCCCATCTCCGTTTACTTTGTGTCACCTACTAGTATTCTGATTGTAGAGAGAAAAATGGAATTCTGTGAAAGACACAGCTTTGCCAAAACAATGCTTAGAAAACATTAAATGAGATGAAATTTGAAGATTATTGTTTTGAGTATTTGGTTAAAATTATAAATTTATATG